TTTCTAAAGACAAGTTAGGACTGGTCAGATAGCTCTGAGGGTAAAGGCACCTGCCACCAAGCCTGATTTTTGAGTTTGATCTTTCAGATTCACATAGTGAAAGGAGAGAACAAACTGCCATAAACTGTCCTCTGGCCTCAACACAGGTGCCAGACATGTACACACACACACACACACACACACACACACACACACACACTAAACAAATGTTTTAAAAGGGAAGATAAATTAACTATTATGTAAGGTGTGCTGGATAGCTTCAGGTGTCAACTTGACACACCTGGGAAGAGGGAACTTCAATTGGAGGATTTCCTCTACCAGATTGGCCTGTGTGTATGTCTGTGAGGCATGATTTCTTGATTGTTTTCTTGATTGTTGAGCGATGAGTGGGAAGGCCCAGCCCACGCCCCACCTCTGGGCAGGTGGTCCTGGGTTGTACAAAAAGGCAGGCTGAGTACAGGTCAGAGGAGCAAGCCAGTAAGCAGCATTCCTTCATGGTCTCTGCTTCAGCCCCTGCCTCCAGGTTCCTCCCTGGAGCTCCTGTTCCCTCCCTGATGAACCACAAGCTTTAAGGTGAAATAAACCCTTTCCTCCCCCAAATTACTTTTGGTCAAAGTGTTTTGTCCCAGCAGTAGAAGACTAACAAGGACATAAGGTAGCATAGTTAGGACTTTTCATTCACATATCTCTTTCTGTCTGTAGGTATTGACTCTGACTTTCACATCAAGGTCCAAGTTTCCCAACAACAATAAGCGATCTAGCAAATGTTATCCCTTCAAAGACCCAAATCACTGGGAAAAGCACTGCAATCATAAGATATAATATCACCTTATCAGTTATAATGTCACTAACAACTTGTAATAAGTTTGATTTTATATGCTCATGCATCTCATAAATTTTCAAACATTATGGAATTCAAAACAGAATTAGCTTTTACTCTTAAAATATCATTAGTGTATCACCTTGGATATGTTAATAAATAGATTCTGCAAGTGGGGAGAAAGGTAAATGCATTTTAATTACCTCAAAAGTCTAACTCTGACTGCTAATGATGCAACAATTAAGTTGTAAATATGTCTGCTAGTTTCCTATTAGGTCCCATTAACAAGCATCACTGACCCAAGGAAATGGGGAGACTTCTGATCTTAGTAGGAGAAAAAGTTGTAAAACTAAAATTTTAGATAGTACGACATCCTAGACAGTATGTCATCCTTTGCTTACATGCCTGCTTCCTACCTGTCTGCTTCTTGCCCTTCCTTGACCTTTACTGTCCCCATTTCCAGTGATGTAGTAAGAAATACAGGACGATCACAATTGCTGCTGGAAGTGCTTGCATCCAACACCAAAGGCCAGTCAAGTTTCCATGCATTTACAATGTCCTTCAGCTCAGAGCCCCAAAGGGAAAGTTATAATGATGCCTACTGGTCCATGTGGACCTGATGAAGATCAAATACAGAGACTAGGGTAGGTAAGAGAGTTGTATTAGACATCGCCTCCTGGAAAGAGTAAAAAAAATGGCTTTTCTTTAAAAATAATCTGACTCCAGAAGTAGAGTTTGTTTCCCCTCATCTTGAATCTAAGTTGTTCCTGAGGTTTGCTTTAAACTCAGCAGTATATGTGAAACCATGTCACTTCTGAATTTGAGCCTCAATAGATTTGTAACTCCACTTGCATCCTCTTGGAACCCAGATGCCACTAGAAGAATCCTAGGCATGTAGGAAGAGAACTGAGATACCACTAGAATCTCCAGACTGAGCTTACAGTCAACAGTCAGCACCAATAACAAGTCAAATGAATGAGCAACACAGGATGCTCCAGCTCAGCCAAACCTTGGCATTATAGCACTAGCAGCTGACCTCAGTCAATATCCACACTCTTAAAAGGTAACAAATGGCAGCTGCTATTTAAACCATCAAGTACTAAGAGTGTTTGTTATGCAGCAAAAACTCCCTAATCCATCCTGGAGACCCAGGCTAAAACCAGCTCCTGCTTGCCTCGAGTCTGACCTCAGGAAAGTCAGGCATCAAGACAGCTATCAGGGGCCTGGGAAGAAGATTCTAACATGGTAGTTAAGAACGGAGACCTGGAGCCAGATCGACTGAGTTTGAATCCTGATATATCCCTGGTAGAGACTTACTGTATTCCAGCTTAATTTTGTGTAATATAGAGATAGAGATAATACCTTTCAGATTACTGATATGTCACAATGACTAAATATCACTATCCATATGTATAAGGCATTTAGAACAGTTGTTGTTCAGTTAATGTTCTCTCTCAATATTACTGTTTATTCTTCATTCTGTTCTATGTTTAATGAAGCAGCTTCTCTTAGCCATGAGATGACTCTATGGTTAGGACAGAGATATATGGACAGGGAAAGAAGGGCCCCACACACGCTTCCTCTTTGATTTCCCATCATAAGGAAGTGGCTCTGTATCAGGCCTAGAAATATGAAAATGATCACTGCTAACTTGCATCAGCCTCACACTGAGTCAAAATGAATGCTCAGGCTATAGGTCATCCTCAACAAAAGTGTCAAATAAGCCAAATTTTACCTCTTCATCTGAGCATAAACTACTCCTTCACATAAGAACTCACTCTCTGAAACATTATAATTGATTGAAGTTCAGTAAGAGTATCAAGCTTGGCTTTGGGGTATAGCTCCATGAAAAGAGTATCTGCCTAGCGTGTATGAGGGCCTGGGTTCAACCCCTGCTCCTTTGAAAAAAAGTATTGTGCCAGTTAACGTTTGTCAACTTGACAAAAGCTAGAGTCACCTGGGAAAACAACCTCAACTGAGGAATGTCCTCTATCAGACTGACTGTGGACATGCCTGTGAGGCATTTGTTTTCTTGTTAACTGATGTAGGAAGGCCCAGTCTACTGTGAGTGGTACTATCCCCAGGCAGTTGGGCCTGGGCTACATAAGTAGCTAAGCAAGCCAGTAAGTAGTGTTCCTCTGCGGTCTCTACTTCTGCTCCTGCCTTCAGGTTCCTGACTCAAGGCCCTGCTCTGATGTCCCTCCATAATGTAGTATAACCTAGAAGTATAAGCCAAATAAATTCTTTCTTTGCCAAATTGCTTTTTGGTCAAGGTATTTATCACAGCAACAGAAAGCTAACTAAGACAAGTATGAAGCTTTATATGTGTATGTATGTGTGTGTGTGTGTGTGTATGTATGTATGTATATATGTATATGTATATGTGTAAATGCACTGCCACAATCTATTTCATCTCTGGCATGACATGACCTATTAGCAAAACATTCATATCTATGTTGTTTCTAAACATTACTTTTCAGCTTAATGTAATAAACATATCATGTAATAATACAGATCACAGTAGTCCTTACATATGTTACAGTAAGATTAATCTTTAATGTCTTAATACCGGGTTAGTTTGGGGGGATTTTGATCTTTTGGTGGGGGGAGTACTTGGAGAAATTCTTTTGTTAAAATAATTACTGTATTTTTTAATGAAGCAAAAGACAGTACTAACCAATTAGTTTTGTGCTGGGATTCCAATTACAATAAATATGAGGGGTTTGCCACAGATTTTAAGTCTGTTTTAAGATGTTCATAAAGAGCCTACTGGAGAAACAAAGCTCCTCCATTTTTATCTTCTCGCATATTATATTCATAAGATTATTGTATAGATAAAATATTAACTATATCCTGGTCTTTGAAGTTGGTTCAAAAGTTATTTATCAAGATAAAGATAAGTTGTTTATCAAGATAACTTCAATAGATCCATAAACTGACATACAAGTAGCTCAGTTAGTTAGAAGGTCTGGAAAAATATGTCGGGATTGTATCTGTCTTCGCCTTGAGGACACCCTTCAATGATATTCCCTTTCCAGGTGTGGTATAAACCTGAGGTGGGAAAATTCTCTTTTTCATTGCATGCTTGCTAATCTCACTTAAATGCAACTCTCAGAGGCGTAGATTAATTGTGCAATAAATGATGTGTAAATTAAATACTAAGAAGTTTAAATTATTAATGCAATAATAATTCACATTCCAGGTTCCTTCTGAAAACACTACAGTTTCATATATATTGTATTCCTCAATGCAAATTAAATGTGGTGGTTTATATATAAACAAATACCACTGGATTTTATTATTTTTCCACCTCTCAGCAATTCCATTCCCTCTTCCTTTACTTTCCATTACCGCTTTTATGTCTGTTTTGAACCTGGCTTATGTCTGTTAAATCTCTACCCCATCTCACAGCCAGCTCTTGATTACACATTTTTTCCCTCTCTTTAAGATGTCGTTCTTAATAGTCTGTATTTTATACTTCACCAGCCTATTCAAAGAACTTGAGTCAATTCTACCAAGAAAAATTATGAGGAATTTTGTAGATTTATGATTTTTGTGTTATGTGATTTTGCACAAAAGTTTAAAACTATATACACTTTAAGTAATGTTTTAGGGAACAACTCTTGGGAATGATTTTACGGGGAACTACTATAACTTCAAAGAATGAATGTAGACAAAAATTAACTGCAAAAAAAAAATCTCAAAAGGAACAAAAGGTCTAAGTGCAAAGAATATTCAGATTAGAGCTGACAGGTCCAATGGAAGTTTCTGCTTAACTTATATCTGTTTTCTTTACATGGCATTAATCATGGTTTAAATGAATTTACCAACTGCTGCTAAAGTAAGTTGTGTAACATTTCTAATTAACAAAATAAATTTAAATGGACTTTGTGACATTTTGCTAACTCACCCATTAAGAATCAGAACTGGGTGTAATTTGATCAGTAAATAACAAACTGTAAAGAATATCATTTAGTTAAAATGTCCTTTGGGTTTCTCAGATAAAATGTTATGGCTTCTCTAAAAACACATCTCTACAAATTCTAAATCTTGGTTTCACTACAATTTGCATTAAATGATTTTTCAGTAGCATAAGTAAATATTTTACATAAAAACTAAATCCTAGTGGACTCATGTTAATGAAATTATTCCTAGAAAAGCAAGTGTTCTAAGTGTCTACCTGGCAAGGCTGTTTCATTTTAATAGCTGTGACATGGTATCTATAGCAGCAGAGTTCGCAAGTCCAGGAGCCCCTTTCACTGATCCACTTTAGCAGACACAGCTGATGTGTGTACCGAACCGACCCGTCACATCGGCAAGGATTTAACAACTCACCCTGAAAAGAAAACAGCTTGGTGTGAATATTTGTGTCTCTGCCTCTATTTAAAAACAAAAAGCTCATTTTTTCTTTACAAGCTATTTACCCAGAAGGATACGTGCATCAGGCTCTATCCCCGAAAATCAAATTAAAATTTTATCTCTCTGATGGGAATGATACTAAAGTCTTAAAAACTATTTCAATGATACTTCTCAGAGTTATGACATAAATGTTCTACCACCATACAAAATGTCTGCAAGATATAGCTTCCAATGCCCTTGGGGGAGAGATGTGCTATTAAATCTCTTTAATAACTTTTAAGTGGATGGTCAGATGCATTTCCTCCGCAGTTATTCTTAATCATTGCTAAAGAAGAAACACATGACAGCAAGCGCCTTGCAATAGCATTATGCTTTTAGTTTTTCTAAATGCAGCATCATAAATATCGACTCACGGTACTATATTCCTGAAAGCCTACATAGTCTTGTGCAATTTCCTTACTTTCAAAGATACTAACCCTAATGTTTTCATACACCACACACTTTGGAAGAATGATGCGTTATCCTCTCCCCTGCGTGAAGAGTCTCATGTAAGTTTTCACGTGCTTCTAATGGCGTTTGTGATTTTTGAAATGTTTCTAACAAAGTATAAAGTACACCATTGGCTAAAATAGCCTTTCTTTCAAAGTACTTTCCTATTTCTTTTGTAAGAACTGTACATACTTTCCTCATCGGAGAGAGTCCATGGTATTGTGACATGACTCAAACACCTCCCCCCATTTGTATTCAAGACTATCTGGTTTCCGGACACGCTGATAAAAAACTAACTTCACCTTTGCATTCTATAGGTTTGCTTCGATGTATAAACTAAAGTCCTTTGCGTAATTAACACGAACTGCTTAATGACGTTAAGTAGTTCTTAATACGTTAGCGTATCTTAAAGCACTAAGGAGTGTCTGGCTGAAAACCCAGGTAAGGAAAAAAAAAAAGCGCAGGTCAAATGGGCCCTGCATTCGCCACTGGGACATTTTATTTGCCTTCACAGGAACTGGAGGCATTCAGAAGTCACTGCAAGGACAGGGGGCTCCGGAAGGCGTGCGCTGTCCGCGGTGCTGAAAGGTCTGCCCTCGCAGGCGCAGTCCCCCGGGCTCTGCCAGCGGACCCGAGGTCCCCGGGCCTTACCTGCTCTGCGCCCTGGAAGCAGATCTTGCAAATGGGCTGGTGGTGCTGGTGCTGGTGTCCAGAGCGCTGGTCGCCACCGCCACTACTGCTGCTGCGGCTGCTGCACACGGAGCGAGTCTCCGGCTGGTCTCCCGCGCCCCGCCGCTCGCCCTCCCCGCCCGCGCCGGCCTCTGGCTCCCCGGGGCCGCCTTTCCCTGTCACCGCGTCTGGGACAGCCACCTCCGAAAAGCGCCCCAGACCTTCCCCGGAGTCGCCAGCCGCTGACACCTCGTGGCCGGCGGGCTGCAGGGGAGGCGGAGGCGGAGGCGACTCCTCCGCGCCCTGGCGCCCCGGGGCCACCTCTCCCGGCGGCTCGCCCGGCCCGGCGGTGCGCTCCGGGAGCGCGGGCAGCGGCGGCCGGTAGCGCGGAGCGGTGGAGCCCGGGGCCAGCTCTCCCGGCTTGGGGGACGGCGGGGGCGGTTCTGCTTCGCGGCTGTCAGCCGGGCGACCCCGGTGGCTGCCTTGGCTGCCCTCAACGCTCATGATGGAGCCGACGACGCCGCCCTCCTGCCCGCCCGGCTGGCGGGCCGGGCGCGGACTGCAGCCAGAGACGGGAGGACAGAGGAGGCGGAGGGAGGGAGGAAGGCGGGCAGGGGGAAGGGGCGCAGGGGGAGGGAGGGCGGGACCGGGAGGGTTAGCCGAGGACCCGGCGCTGCGGCGGCAGAGGCTGCTGTTCCGCTGAGCCGCCGGCTCGGCTCTGATGGAGGCGGCGCCGAGTTCGGCTGCGCGAGGGAGGCGCGCGAGGGGGAGGCAGGAGGGAGGAGCGGCGGCGCTGCGCAGGGGCGGTGGGGTGGGGGGAGCAGGCGGGAGGGAGGTGGGGGGCGCGAACCCTCGGTGGGGTGCGCAGAGGACCCGCTGGAATTGGGGGATCCCTCGGCCGCTTCCCACCCCGCCCAGGGCTGCTCACGTCGGATCCGGGGCGGATTGCCCCTAGTGGCACCGCGCACTGCGGCTCTCGGCTCTCGTGAGCAGTGAAAGGGGGAGGGGTCGGGAGCCGCCGGTCCAGAAACCGTTACTGGGTGGGTCGGAGGGAATTCCGCCACACCCGCCGAGTGGGGGCGCGATGGTCTAAGCCGAGACCTGCGTGAGCGTGGAAATTTTGGAAGGATGGTGTCGGTGCCCTGCAGGAGTCCACTGAGCCAGGGCGCGCTGGAAAGGGCGCGTGGGTACGGGTACTATAACCGCTGTTGCTCAACAGTGGCTTTGGGGGACCCCAGCCTTCCACACGGCCCCGCCCCTGGACTCTACCTATCCCCAGGAGCCTTCGAACAGACGCTTCTGGAACCTTCCTAATCCCTACTGTCTACCTTGCCCCTGAATCCAACCCAGTCCTCCTGGCCCCTCTTTCCTGCAGTAGGCATGCCAGGTTATTTGTTAATTTCTCAGTGCCTTGGAGGTCTGAGAGTCATTTCCTGTAGTGATGTCTAATAACGAATTGTGGTTGGCTTATGGTCACTTTCATCCTTGCAAGAAAAGTGGCTACAACCTCCTCGAACCTCAGTTTGCTTCATTCTAAATCCAGTGTCTCTATAACATCACCTTTTTAAAACCTCCTGGCACTCGACTTTGACCCAGGTCCTTTGTGAAACTCCCTCCTTCATAGGCAGGAAACTGGACAGAAATCTGTGCCCACGAAGTGGCTCCAAATCTATACATTCTGAATTACTATGCCATTGGATTTATACCCAGCAACATGTCTATGCAAATCAATCGTGACTTTTCATTGATGTAAAGCCTTAATGTTTTTTAAACAACAGTCTCTGCACTTCATAGGTGAAGACACAGGACCAGATAAGCAGACTAACTTGCTCAAGGTCACCAGTCTATTAAAGGACAATGGAGATACTTGACCCCAGCTTTCCTGACTCAAACACCAGTCTCAGTCCCCGCCCCCCTTCCCAATCCTTTCTCCTTTCTCCCAAAATACTATTGTAGTATGTAGTTTATTTGATGACTTTGGACTTTGATTCCAATTAACAGATGTTTCAAAATGGTTGAGATAAACTACCAGCTTAACTTAGTTTTTCAATTACAGATTTGGCAGTAAGAAGTATATTTGATTTTTTAAAAAATAAAGCTAGCTCTTTCAACATAAATTACTTTGGTTTGAATGAAGGAGTGAAAAAGAAGAGAACAAGAATGCCTTGTCACAAATGGCCAGGGTGAAATAGCTTTCAGGAATGCCCTCGCTCACTTGGTTTCCTCCCTCCAGCTTATTTTTGGTAGCAGAGTGACAGGCAGCAAGTGCAGTTTTAAGATCATAATCCTTGCACACCCTAGGAACTTTCACACACAAGAATTGTGGCAGAGATGCTTTAGTTTTAGTCTTCACCTGTCAAAATAACACTGCATATTATATATATATATATATATATAACATATACACACACATTTACTGTATTAGTTTTCTGTTGCTGTGATAGAAACACTATATATATATTCCCTCCACTCTTAGGGTCCTCATAAGTCTAAAGTGGCTCATAAGCCTGGATCATAAGCTCTTAAAACAGAGCCCGGATTTTATACAAAATTCTGAGTAATTCAATTTATGGTAGTAAATTATGACAAAATGCATCGTTAAAGGGCAGATTGGAGGCTGGAGGCTCTGCAGAAATCCTGTAGGACAGCAAAGCAGAGAGCAGCTGGGTGTGTCCTTTCAGTTGCTTGCTTAAAAAAAATAATTTTGATAAAAGAAAATTAAGTTTCCTTACCATGGTGAGAGGCATTACAAAACCAGAACCACAAGGAAATAGAAACATTGTTTCCCAGCTCCAGTGGCCTCCACAGTGGACCGTTCCTTATAAAACAGAAACTCATTGAGGAGGCTCTGTTAGCCCACCCAAGTCTTCAAGAGATGGGGAGAAACCCTGTGCTTCTCACTGTCCCTCTGCTGTAAAAGTGTGGGATAGGAGACACAAAAGGAATGACTACCCCAGCTTCTGGCATCCAAGTTCTAAGGATAGAGACACGGATAAAGAAGAGCAGGGAAGGACAGCCTCACCCTGACAACACCAGGAGCTGATGTGAATCTGACAAATAAAAAGATCAAGTTTTGCCATATTTTACTGAATATTGTAAGGTACGTGAAACCTGTATTCACCTATATAAATGCAAAAGATAAAGATAGTATGGCAGATGAAGCAAGTCCATTTTTACCTCCCACACAAACACACACATCCATCACTACATGGCATGTTTCATTATGAAAGCACAGGCCCTTTAAAGAGAAGTTGACTCTAAGGATGGGGGATGAAAAGGACCCCAGCAAGTGTATTGTGTCCCAAAATGTTCTTTAGTGATATTAATGTATAGCCTAAAGAGGTTCTCCTGAAACTTCCCTAGTGTGCACACCCTGGGTTGGCCCCTGAAGTCCCTTTGGGGAAGTTGGACTATATAGCCCTCAATCCAGGAAGTGGCTGGTGATGTCTAGATTCATCTGGAACCTGGACTAAATGTAATGGCCTTGATTTGACCTTCAAACAATTAAAGATAGCCTGCAGAGCACTTTAGAATTTCTTTTTAAATCCTTTAAGTGTAGCTCTTAGAGATATTCCAAAATTGTTCAATTGGCACCTTTGAGATACACCAATATTCCTATGGTCACTGAGTTTAATACACACAGTTCTCAGTTGCCAAGAAATATTTGAGTAAAGACATTAAGACTTCTAGCCTACTAGTATCCTGAAATGTTTTCTGTGTGTTCCTCTAGCAGTATGCTGTAGAACAGAAAGATCATGCTGCATGTAATACTGAGGTGAAAACTGCATGGGAACCCATATTCACCAGTGCAGAATCTAGCTTTGCTAGGTACCAGATCCAAAGTAGGGTCTGTCAGCCCCATGCCAGCACAACCCCAAGTTCAGAGGAGTCCAGAGTTTGTAGGTCCCATCCTTTCCACTTAACTCTTGCTTCATATACTCAGTCATATCCTTCATAGACATTCCTCACTGCATGTCTAAAAGCCAGCAACACCCCCAACCCTTTTCCTCATCGTCAATATGCCAGTACCCATTTTGTTGTTCAAACTGCAACCCTTGGCATCTGTCATCCTTGATTTTTATTTTTCACATCACACATGAAAAAAAGTTCTTCAAATGTACTTTCAAAATATATGCCAAATTTCTCTACTACTTTCACCTCCATCCCAACATGGCATTCCAGTTCAGACCACTGTCCTAGTGCTCCAGGACCATCAGCATGGTCTCCTGACCACTCCAGTCTTCTCGCCCAGAAGCCATCTCTTGCAACAGCCAGAAGATCAGATTTACACGAGTTCAATCACATCAGCCACCTCTGCTCAGTATCATCAATGGCTTCCCGTCACACTAAGTATATATCCAAAACCTTAGCACATCCCAGCCTCCACCTCTGAAGACATCTCCAGCCCTACCCAGAATCCACCCTTTTCTATTCACTCCTGCCACAGGAACTTTCTTGTTATTTCCCAATTCTTTTTCTTATGTGTTCCTGCCTTGGGGGGCTCAGTGCTGACTCTCACTTCATTCGGGCACCACAACTGAAATAGAACCCTCCTCTCTCATTTTAAGGACAACCTATTCCCCTCTTTCTCAGCTCATGACCCAACATATGCATGCCTCTTTATTATGTAGATTTTACTTGCTTTTTTGTGTAATATCCTTGACTGGTAGTCTTGCCCCATTGGAAACTGTCTTGTTCACAGCTCTCTTTCCAGAGCCTAGAATAGGGCCTGTCCAAAGTAGTGCACAGCCAATATTTACTCAACAAATAAATGAATAATTAAGTCCATCAAGCAGGAAATTATTCACCAGCTTCTGTGTTTAAAGTACCATGCAGCTGGTCAAACTGAAGTTCCCAGGTGGGAATGCAATCAGGAGAAACATGCTTTCTCTGTATGATGTCAAATATCTTTCCCCAATTAATCAAAATGATCCTATTCTCTTCATCTTGTGTGATTTCTGTCTACTCAGTCCCTTGTTACCCGTTATACATGAAGTCAATGTCTTGGATGACCCCAATACCATATTCACAAAGACATATGACAGAAACTTTAAAATGCAAACCACTGGTCTTACAGGAGTCAAAATGAGGGAGTGTGGGTGAATAATTCCCACATCTGAGCAGCCTTATTGAAGACCTACTGTGCCCCTCTTTGCATGACTCAACCTTTCAGTGTCTGTCGATCCTACCCTTGAGTTTGGAATGATTCTTTCATGCAGTCTTCCTTGCATTGCTCCCCATATCTCTCCATTGTGTTCTATCCCTGCTAGAAGTTCCACTCTTAAAGACTTCCAAATCTAAGCCAGCCAGGTCCCGCTCTACCTTTGCTAGACTTATCAGTCCTCACAAGCTTACCTGACCTGACATTTCTTCACATACTTCGTATCTTCTCTGAAAAGCTCTAGGATTGCCAAAGTCCCCACATAAATGTCATCAAAGCTTATTGATTGCTACAAAAGTGAATTTCCCTTCCCCCAAAGTTCTGAGATGCTGAATACAATAAAATCGTATCTTAAAGAGCATGTTTGATTTATAAAAGATATCACACTAAAAAATAACCAAGCCTAGTTTTCTCCCCTACCTTGAACCTTGCAAACACAAAAGTCTCCTTTACAACAGAGACTCGAATGCTCAAAGTGCTTAATTAAAACATGATGGATGTGTGTGTACAGGGTGTCCTGAACCAACCTGTCATCTGGAATGCAGGAGAGTCA